GTTAAGCTTCTAAGTCAATGATGACGTGTGTTATTGTATCAGTAATTAATTAAAAATTAACAGCAAAGCACAGAATTATAGACATGAAATAGAAAACATAAACAAACAGTAGAGAAACTTAAATTACAGGACAATACACGCATTGGAATAGCTTTTAAGAAGTATGTGCACAAGCATACAAACACGTACAAACACAAATATAGGTTATCAAGTAACTATAGAAAGATATATAGTCCAGAGAACAGTGGATACAAAGTAACAGCTATACTAAACAGCGTATAGAAGAGTAAATCAAAGAAGTGTTCACAGAAAAAAAGTGCATAAGAACTATAAACAAAACAATTTCTGACTTTTCTAAAGAAGTAATAATCAGCACAATAGAAGCATTCTATATATATCATAATTTCATCTATCTGGAGGTTTATTAATTGGTGTCATAATTGACTGACATCTGAAACCTGGGAGCAGTGAACAGATGTTTTGTCCTAGTTCTCAGCAGTGCACACCTATCACCCCACCCGCCAGGATCGAACCCAGGACCTTCAGGTCCCATGACCAGCACGTAACTATTGAGCCACTGGGATGGCGGAATCCAGTGGTCCATATTTACTACTTCTGTCAGTTCACGATAAAACATGACCTACATCCAACGTCATCGTTGAGTAACTGTCCTCATGTTCGACTTCGTTGACTCTAATGGTCATGACTTCTCACTGGAACTTCGGAAATCACCTCTCGAAGCAAGTCACCAAGGAGCGCTGAATTAATTCTATTTGGAGGTTTGTGGAGACTTATTAATTGATTTTAGGTCGGAAAGCAAAGGTCTTGGGTTCGATCCCTGATGAGGTCGGGGGTCATGGGTGCGCGCTGCTGAAGAGTCCCAGATCCGGACGAAACAACTGTCCAGTGCTCCCAGGTTTCCAATGTTTCTCCAACTGATGTCAGTCCATAATGAATTCCAACCTCATCTTTGATTCATCTGATTCACAGAAATGGATTAATTCAATGTTCATATATATATGCAAGTGAAATAGTAGGCAATATAAACTTTCCGGCTGATAAATCTATGAAGTCATTAAAATTATTATAAACAATAGCAGGGCCTAGCACACAACTGAATACACCAGTTCCAGGTGCTACACTTCACAGTAGTATACAAAAAACAGGAGTATAGAATAAGAGTGATATCATCATAGATAAAGTTGAGAGAAGAAACAATTTGAAGAGAAAGATCAGTGCAAATCTTCAAGCTCTAGATGTCAAGGAGTAAATGCGTCTGAGTTATTGTAACTGTTTTTCAGCCATGTCATTAAGAGGCCTCAAAAACTAATTTCTATCGTCCCGGAGACCCCAATCAGGTACTAGTCTACATTTCGCAACACGGCTACAACTAACAACAGTCGAGAACTACATGCACTAGTGCCCTTTTAGTCTGGCCATCCAGAAACTTACTCCAACCTAATCAACTTTCCCTAGTAAGGCAGTTCGAGGGAGGTCACCTCAGTCGACGGTTTACAACCTTCCATCATAGTACACAATTTCATATAGCTAAGCAATGCTACAAAAACACCTGTGAGCGATTCATATCTTCTGCCTGAAACGGCCATGTCTCACAGTCGTATTACAGGACAGCATGGACTGCACGTTAGTATACTCGTCCTTTGATAGATAGTCAGATACCCTACCAGTCGGTTCGACAGATGATGCAAGTTGACAAATGCCAAATGGGCCTTCTGAATCCAAGCTGACACTTCGTCAGCAACCAGCCCGTTTGGATTGATGTGATTCCCCAAGTAAGTGAAGTAGTCGACACATTCCATTATTTCACTTCCTATCATTAAACTGGGAGTACTTACAGCAGACCAGTCTTGGAGCACCAACTTACATTTGACAGGTGCCAGCGAAACCCAAGCCAAACATACTCACATTTCTGTTTAACGAGTTCACAAGATCCGGCATTTTGTCAGTATCTTCACCTAACAGGAAAATATCGTTTGCACACCCCAACTCAACCAGATGACCTCCAGGGAGTAAGTCAATCCCTATGAATTAAGATGTACCTAAGCTCATGTCCATTAGTACGCCTATAACGAAGTTGGAAATGAATGGTGACAGTCAGAATCCCTGACGGACACCGCTAACTGTTGTCAATTCAGATGTCAACTCTACAAAAGCCCTTACACGGCTGCGTGACTTCGAGTAGAGGGCTTTTCACTAACGTTATATACTTACTCGGTACTTCTTTCAGTCAGACACTGCTACAACACCTTACGGTCGATACAATCAAATGCCGCTTTCAGGTCAACAAACATGGATAGCATTGGTCACTGGTCGATAAGTATGCTTACGCTTCGGAATCTGTTGAAAGATGAAAACATGATCGACGTACCCTCGTCCAAGTCTGAAACCTAGCTGGTTTCCTCAGATTTGCCGTTCCTGAGTTCCAGTTAGACATCGGACAATTATGGACTGTATGATCTTGGAGACAATACTAGTCAAACTAATTTCCCCATGGTTGTCACAAAAAGATTTCCCTCCCTTCCTACAGATGATTGGTGAAGCACATCAATCTAATGGCACTACCCCTGGTTCCATACACCAACTAGTACCTCCGTCTCTCTGATCAGCAAATTCTACATCTATCCTTGAAAACTTTAGGTGGAAAACTGTCAGATCCTGCAGCTTTACATCGTTTCAGGTTCGATATAACTTTCTCAACTTCAAGGAGAGTTGGACGACCGATATTTATATCCGATTCAGATTCAGGTTGGATGTTAGGCAACTTAAGCGTTGCAATGGGTCAGATGAACTGTGGTCCAAACTCTTCTGCCCAGCGTTCTATCCGCCTGTCCTGAAAAAGTATCAGAGTACCATCCTTTTTCATGATGGCTTCATTAATCAGTAGCAGATGAACTATACATTTCCTATATGAGATCTTCATAATGGTACAAATAAGTTAATAATTGTTGTAAATATTCATTTCATTCCATTTACTAATAAAGTGACGAACCATATCAGATTCTATGCTACTTCAGTTAATCGAGTAAAAACTACCACTCACTTTTCACATGAAAGGAACTTTCTTGATTGAGGAAATACAATAATTGTCAGATGACTAACCATCAGTCTCAGGTAGTGTTATGCTTTCGAACTCTAATGGTTATATATATTTTCCGAAACGAACATAATGAGCACGCTTGGCTGACAGTTAACTTAGTACGCAAGAGCCACTGGCTGCAACCCCGGGATGAATAGTGAGAAGACCGAAGCTGGATGATGGGAGAGTTTATTACTCTGAGAATACAATAATAAATCAATCCAAAACACGTGACTGAAAAATGACCTTGTCCGCAATTGGATAAATTCGCATAGTAAAAGTTAACCAATCAGCGAATTACATTACAATGGGGCAGAAAATAGACTATTAGTCATACCGTAAAAACGGTATGGGAATGACACGTTAAAATGTTCAGATCAATAACAATGTTTTATACAAAACTGAGGCATCACAAACAGGGATAGCGAGATGGATGAAATAATCTTAAAATCCATTCCCTTTATAAGTATCCAATTCATAGTGCAGTGGACGCTGTTGATCAGAATGGATATAAGTAGTATATGTTGAGAGAATGGCAGAAATCACAGGCGATGAGTAAAGATTCTGCCCAGAGAAATCCAAGAGATAATTTAGGCGTATTAAGAGAAAATGGAGATAGAAGAGGAAATGAAGCACATTGTGCTAATGACTGTTTTAGTGAAAAGTGTATAATATTTCATCACTACTGTACACAAAGTCAATAATAAACATTCCTTCTTGCATCTCAGTCTTGTCGTTTCCTACAATAGTATTACGAATAGTAAGGAAGAATTTGATAACTGAGTCTGAAGTCTGTTGAGGAAGCTGTGGTATACACAGTGAGACGTATAGAAAAATCCTGTCATAATTTTCTAGACACGCTAGGATCACCATTTAAAAAAGTATTATTATCGATAAAGGTAAGATCAGTATTTGATGTCCCAACCTTTTGGATATTCGACGATTCTGTCTTCACCATCTTATTATTATTACTTCCCCCTTGGGTTCGTTCCCAGTGGAACATACGGCTTCACTAGCGCGTCTCCAGTTCACTCTCTTCACTACAGTCTTCTTCATGTGCCTACACGACTGCCCACAACCTCTCATTTCTTCCTCACATGATCCTCTCCATGTCACCCTCACCTCCGACACCCAGATCGTCGTTTCCCCTTTGGATTCCACTCGACGGCCTAGTCTAGCGTATGATGTCCCAATCAGCCTTCTCAGTGTATGCCCAATCCATCTACACTTTACTCTACATATTTTCTGGGCGATAGGTTCTTCATTGGTTCGTTGCCAGCCACCTACAGTTCCCTCGTGCTCATGCTTTCTGGCCATCTCATCTTCAGTATCGAGTGAGCGTAGGCAGCTGTTGATGAAAGTCTGTAGTTTGCTGGAAGTGCTTTGCGTGACACGTCAAGTCTCTCAACCACATAGCAGCACTGACTCAACTAACATTAGTGTTGAAAATCTGGATCTTGTTTCATATGCTGAGTGCAGTGGATCTATCTCCACACTGATTTCAGACTGGTGAAAGGCTGTCTTCCTTTCCCAATCCTGGCTTTGGCATCCTCATCTGTGCCTGTGTCGCCTGTAGTTGAAACGATGCTGCTCTGCCTAGGTAGGTAGGTGAAAGAGACAACTTCCTTTAGATTTCTCCCGTTAATGGTGATTGGTGCTTGTTGTTGGTCGGGTATCTTCACCAGGGAAAACCAGAGAACGCCCACCCCATCACACACAAAACCCCGTCCGTCACCATGAACTTAATGGACGGTATATTATGAACCTCGCTCAAAAAGTTTAGTCAACAATTACTATCGGTTAACATATCTTAAAATATAAAATAATCTTAGTGGTATAAAGAAGTAAAAAGATATTCAAAATTACCAGAATGGAATACACATCTTGTTTAAAACGGAATTACCTATCTGAAAGATTATTCGATGACTGTTTCTGATTTAGATTCTGTGATGTAACCCATTTCATATGTTCATCTAAATCCCAATTACCAAGATGAATTTCTTGACTTTTCTTTGAATTTACATCCTACAAAAAGTAGACAGAGAAAGATATGAAAATGATTTGTGTGGTAAATAATTCTATTAAAAATATTCTATTATAAGTAAGCTAATAAGTAGTGAAACAATCATTGAGTGATTGAATAGTTAGTATGCTATTCGAAATATCTTATCTCACTAGATTCAACCTCAAATGGATGTTAGACAGACAGACAGAATCAACGTAGATATCTCGCACACAAGTGGCATCACATCAAGTTGTCACACTTCGCAGTGGTATACACGGACAGATGTTCAAATAAGAGTTATATCCAAGTGTGCAAAGTTGTGTGAGAGAATGAACAATTTGAAGAGTCCTTAATCACTCATTCCTTTCGTCTCAAGGAACCCGGACAGGCAGTCTGTATAGTCCTACACGATTCAGATCAACAGCTGGAGACTTTATCGACTAGTGCTAGGTCTTTGTCTGGCCACCCTGAACCCTCTCTTAATCTAATCCAGCTTCCCTAGCATAGCAAGTCGAGGGAGGCGATGACTTGGTATGCGCTAAGCATGTCCGAGCCACCTCGGCCGATGAAGGTTCACAATCTCATCAAACGACTTGCCTATCTTGTCTAGTACTCTTCTCCTGACCTCAACACTAGTCATATAGTGATTTCACAAAACGGGTGGATGACGACTATTGATATGAGCCAAACTAGTAGGAAAAAGTTGGTCATTAGCGTTTGGTTTTCGATTTTCATCTAGCTGATGTTAAATATATCTTGAAAGCTATAGTGAAAACAATAAATGATTACCTACGAAATATACCTGAATGTAGATGATAAGAATGATGCTACCCATTAACCGTGTAGAGGCTGGTTTACTATGTTTTAAACTACACCTATAGTGTGTGTGCATTACGGGACTACTGGTAGCTTAAATAACAGAAAGTAGAGAAACGTTTGAGTCAGTGACCGAGTGTTTGGAAGTTGTAACTGAAAAAATAAACAGCAGCCTCATCAACTCCATAATTCACTGAGTGATATTAAATCACAGTAGCAGTACTTAGTATTATTATGGTTTTAACATTGCTATAGCTACTAACAAGGCACGGATACCGACTGTCAACCACCAACATCAGCCACAACTTTCTAGTTGATTTCCGACTAACGAAGAAGACATACTGAGACGGGTAGGAACATGTATTCAAGTATGGAAGAGAAAGAAAGAAAGCTCCAGAAAGATGTTAAAAAGTGAATACATCAGCCATGTCATCAAGAATCTACGGCCACTGATTACTATCGTCTCAAAGACTTCAGTTAAGTAGTCTAAACCTCACCATACTGTTCAGACCAACTATCAGAGACTTCATAGACTGGTGCTGTGTATATGCGAATCACTATGCGCGACTAAGATAGACACAGCAGTGCACAAACATGAACAGAAATGCATTGACTCAAGTTACCGCATTTCTCAACAGCATAGAATAATTTTAAGTTGTTATTCATCATAGATTGACATCAGTTGGAGGAACAAAGGAAACCTAGGAGCACTGGATAGCCAACTGTTTCGTCCTAGTATGCGACTCCTCAGCAGTACGCACCCACGACCCCACCAAGGATCGAATCTGCGACCTTCAGGTTCCGTGGCCAGCACATTACCATTGAGCCACTGGGTCGGCGGGATCCAATGCTCTATATTTCCAACTTTTGTTAGCTCACGATATAAGCATAGAATAACTCAATTCCACATAGAAGGGTTTTTTATAATAGTGTATACATGGGAGCTAAATACTGCTCAGACTAAAAAATATAGTTTTCTAAGGAGAGCACATCTAGAGTCTTTTGATAAGTAATCCAATCTACAAGGCTATGGTATATCATCAAGAACTGTATGACTGTCAATGACCAGAATATTTTTATATGCTATTCATTTCTTTGAATCTAAGGTTCATGTGCGTCACTCAAGAATTTGCAACTATTCTAACATGAACCCTATGACAAGCTCAAGATATTTAGTTCCACTTTTTCACTTTTGTAGAAACACTCCAGGTCAAATGAAGGTAGTGAACAGAATTTCTCTGGTAGTGACTATGAATACATGATCGTATGATAGCGTTTTGAGAACAGCAATGAACTCTACAGGAACCTTGGCTACAAAAAGGCACTTAAGGTATATATATATATATATATATATATATATATATATATATATATATATATATATATATATATATATTACGGACGTCCAACTCGTCGCTTCCCATGGGATTCACTCGAGGCCTGACGCGTGATGTCCTCAGTCGGCCTTCTCAGTGCATGCCAATCCATCTCCACTTCTCCTGCATATTTTTGTGATAGGTTCTTGGTTGGTTCGTTCCCAGAGTTCCTTGTTGCTTATTTTTCTGGCCATCTGATCTTCAGCGAGCAGCAGTTGTTGATGAATGTCTGTAGTTTATTGGAAATCTTTCGTGACGCGCCAAGTCTCTGAGCCATACAAGAGCACTGACTTGACGTTGGTGTTGAAAATCCGTATCTTGTTCCTGCTGAGTGCAGAAGATCTCCACACTGGTTTCAGGCTAATGAAGCCTGTCTTGCTTTTCCGATTCTGACTTTGACTCCTCGTCCGTCCCGCCTGTAGTTGAAACAGTGCTTCCTAGATAAGTGAAGGAGGTTACTTCCTTCAAGTTTCTCCCGTTGACGGTGATTGGAGTTTGTTGTTGTTGTTGATGGTGGTGGTCGGTATCTTCATCACTTCTGTCTTCTCTATATTCACCTGAAGTCCCGTCTTGCTGCCTCTTCTTCAACTTGTTAGTTTTTGCCTGCAGATCTTCAAGTTTTGTGACATTAGGCAAGTCATCGGCGAAATCCAAGTCTTCTAGGTTCTTTTCCGTCGTCCAGTGTATCCCCCTCTTCTCGCTGCCTACTGTTTGCTGCATGATCCAGTCCACCACAATAAGGAATCATGGGGATAGTAGGCAACCTTGTTTCACTCCTGTCTTCACTCAAAGGCACACCTTCCCATTGTGGATTACTTGGCATGTGGCATCTTCATATAGTTGTTGAATGAGGCGGATAAAGGTTTGCGGTACTCGTAGTATTGAAGCAGTTTCCAAATTACTTCTCGGTCGACGCTGTCAAACCTTCTCAAAGTCGATAAGTTGAGAGAGAGCTGATTGCCATTCAGCTCTGTTCTATGATGATCGAGCGTTGCAATTTGGTCGCACATGATTTGTACTTCCTGAAGCCTGCCTGTTCCGGTCGCAGTTTGAATCCAGTGCCTAGCCTCTAGGATGATGCGGCTTAATATTTTACTTGGGTGGACAGGAGAGTGATTCCGCGCCAGTTTTGCAACACTGAGGTCTCCTTCTTCGGCAGTTTGACAAGGTAACCCTTCTTCCCCAGGTACCTTCTCTTCCTTCCACACCTTCTGCAATAGTGGTGTGAGCATGTCCGCTGTTGTCTCGCTCTGTCTCAGTGCTTCTGGCGGTATTCCATCTGGTCTGCTGCTTTCCCCTTTCAGTAGCTTTATGGCGTTCAGGACTTCCATTTCGTTGGGGGATTTATGTTCACTTGTAATTCAGCGGCTGCAGGTGGTATTTCTGGACGAAGTGCAGGTGGTGGTCGATTCAAGAGCTTCTTGAAGTGGTCGGCCCATCGTTTCCTCTGTTTCTCTTCTTTGTAATTAAATTTCCTTCTTCATCTTTTATTGGTTTCATCTGTGTTGGTCTCTTCCCTGATAGCAACCTGGTTATTTGAACAATGTCGTCAGTCTCTCTTACCTGCAGCCTGTTCTGCTTCACTTGCCAGTTTCGTAGAAGTGTCTTTTGTCTTTGCGTGCACTCTTCTTCACTTCTTTGTCCAGTGTTTTACATTGTCTCAGTTCCTCTTGTCGTTGGCATCCTTGCACTGGTTTATCTTCTGCTTCACCATCCTCCTCTCTATCAGCTTCCAGGTATCCGTCGAGTCCATTCCTTTCTTCTTCTTCTTCTTCCTAATACTGTTGTGCAGGTTTCTTTCACATAGCTTTCAAAGACTTCCAGTGTTCTTCCACACAGGTTTCTTCAGGGATGTCTCGATTCTCCCATTTTGTCTTGATGGCTGCTTGAAGATCTCCTTTGTAGTTTCATCCTTCAGTTTCCGAGTGTTGTACTTGATTGAGGTCTATCACCAGCTTCCTTGAAGGCTTTAACTTGATTTGGAAGGTTCCTTGCACTAGGTGAACCTACATCTGCTCCTCTTCTTGACCTGTGTTAAGTAGACTGCGTCTCCATTTTCTTGAGATTGAGATAAAGTCGATTGATTTTGTGTGTCCATCTGGTGAATCCTGTCGCTTTGTGGATATCTTGTGCCTGAAAACTGCCTCCAATCACAAATCGTTGAATGCACAGAATTCTGCAAACAATTCTCCATTCTCATTCATTTCACCTAGCGCCTCTCGACCCATGGTTAGTCTCTTCCGTGTTGTCCCCTCCCAGTTTGCATTCATGTCGCCCATAGAATTTTGATATCGCCAACTGACGTCTTGTCCAGTGTTGATGAAGTTGTCTGTAGAATCCTCCTTTTTCTCTGCTCTGCATTATTTGTAGGTGCATACATTGTATGATTGTGACCTTTCTTCCTTTGAGTTGAATCTTGCTGTCATGATCTGGAGAGTTGGTTCCCATGCATGAGAGCCTTCGATGCTCTTGAGGACATCATGATAGCACTCCCTCAGTGTGCTCGTGGTTGGCGTCTGGGTGACCGGAGTAGATTATTGATCTCCAGTTGACAGTTTGGAGAGTCCACTCCCATTCCATCTGCTTTCGCAAATCCAAGCACTTCGATGTATACCTTCTCATCTCCTTGCAATCTGGGCTGCCTTACTGGGTTCAAACATCGTGCGACATTCCATGTCCCCACGTTTACTTTCGCTTTCATCAGAGAAGACAATCGCCAATTGGCTTCCCGAAGTTTCACCAACTGCGTCATTCGCCTCTCCGATTCCAGCGGGAATAAGTTGTTTCATTTTTTATATTTGTTTGTGCTTTGAGTTTTTTAGCGGTTAGATTTGTTTTACGGGTAGGGTTGCTAGCCCTATGCCCAACTTCCCTCTTACCCGGGCTTAGGACCGCTAGTAACTAGTAAACTAGTTACCAGGCGAGGTTTTATATATATATATATATATATATATATATATATATATATATATATATATATATATGCACTGGGTAACTAAGAATGGCCTTGAATTAATTTCACTCAAAGTCCCATAACCATTGTTTTTCAACCTGTTGGAGACCTATAACCACAAAGTGTATGGTTCAAAGTGATAGTCAGTAGATTATTAGATCGGTATTAAGCCCGACAATAACTGGGATATACTTAATTTAACAGTTAAAGACTGACCACTTTCGCTTTCAAAATATCCAACTTTATTGTATTAATGATACTTGTAATTTCCTGTTGCTATACGGGACAGAATTGCTCGACCTCTGTTGGCAGATGGGCTGCTATACGATGCTTCGATACTGTCCGATATTCATGATGTTATATTGATCTTGGTGACTAGTAGAGGCATTCAGGATGCGCGTTTCGTCCTATTTGGGACTTGTCAGCCGGATGTACCTTCACCTTAGTGAGTGATGTTATTCTCATCGAGGCTCGAACCCTTCGCTCCAAACGCGTAATCCGCTGAATTACTGGGGCACGGTAGCAACCTCTTTTGCGACGGATATTCGAGCCTCAGTGCGAACAACACTCACTGGGGTGCAGGTACATCCAGCTGACAATTCCCAAATAGGACAAAACCCACGTCCTGGATTCCTCTGCCAGTCACAAAGATCAATATAAACCAAGTTTATATTGCAGAAAGAAAGAAAACTCTGGTCAAAAGAACTTTTTTTTGTTTTTCAACCACAGAATAAGAAATATGTGCAAAACATTTCATTTATATAGGCCACCCAAAGGGTTCACTTTCCAAACTTATTTTCGAGTACTATCCTGTATGGTTATCAAGGGGAGAATATAAATTAATTAACAGTTTAATTCTGAACACTTGATCAACTCCACCAGAGTCCCCTTTCAGTGTCATTTACAGAGTCAAATGGGGGTATTGAAAACCTGGGAGCACTGAACAGCTGTTTTTTCTTAGTATGGAACTTCTCAGTAGTGGGCACTGGTGAGCGCGCCGGGGGTCGAACCCAGTGTTCCCAGGTTTCCATTGTCACTCAAACTAGTTTCAGTTCATAATGAATACCAACTTGGAATCAATAAAAAATCCCTAAAAACCCTCAAATTGAAACAAACGGAATAGTTTAACAACAGTACGCTTTCGACATTCGTGCAGCATGACAGAAACACTGGTGATTCATAAATTCAAGCTTGATCTCTGCGTGTAGACGAAGTATGTTCAGTATCTTATCTTGCCATGGTTTTAACACATTAACAAATTTTCTGATTTCATTATGACTAGTTAGTTTATTATTATCACTTTCACTATGATCCTTGTTTCTTTCTTCATGTATGTATGAAGTGGACACTACGTCTTAGCATTTTACATCTACGAACAATTTCCACCTTATTACACTCCCTGTCTTTCCCGTTGCTTCTATTGTCGAAAAAATTATGATGCAACTATACCCAGTCTGATATTGATGAGTAGTATTACATGCCCCAGCCACCTGAGTCAATGAGTTTTCACCTAACCTCCACGTTATTAATGTGGTGGTTCTAAAAAACAAAAAGGTTATGTTAATCCGATTGATTTCGGATAATATCACCTGATGTCTGTAAGAAATGATTTTTAATAGGTTAAAACTCCAGGATTTTTTTCCCTATGCTGTCCACAAGGTTAGTAACTTGAAACATTTCACTTCTCTGCAAAAGTTCGACGTTAATCTGCCTATTAAGGACATGATAAAAAAGTTGATGGAAAAGTTCCACATCTTGATCTGACCATTGTGAAGTTCTCACAGTACAATGCTTGACACAGTGCTTCGAAGGATACGCGGTCCTTAATGGACAAATGCATACCCCAGCGGCACCAAATGTCAAGTATTTTCTCTTCGCGTGGAGATTCTATCAGTCACTTACTCATCAGGGGTGATCCAACTTCTTAATTAAGTGAAGTGATCAGCGTGCTCAACCACTTCATTCCCTTATATCAGGAAAAGTATAAACGCAGACCATTCCTGAAGAAAACTTTACTATTTAAGTGATAAGAAACTTATCTCCAGCATTCTCAAATCACTACTCAAGGTGTCCAGAAGACTATACATCTTATCAGAGCCTTCACCTAAGAGGCTATGTCATCTTCGTGTTTTACTCCAATTAAAGTTTCCGTGACAAGGTTGATTTCAATAAAGTGAAATAAGCGAAGTGACACGTCAATAAGTGTGTCTATGACAGTGTTAGATAAGAATAGAGGGAGTTGAGAACCTTGACGGATATCGCCAAACATTAATAACTCACTTGATACCTCACTAGAAGCTCTAAAGCACTCGTGGATATCGGAATACAGCTTTCAAGAAAGAGATGTACATACGGGTACTCTTATCAGTAAGATCTCAATCGATGAATTCAAATGTTACTTTGAAGTCAAGAAATACCATATAATGTTGGATAATGGGATGTATGGAGTGTAAGTGGTTATCTTGGATTTGTAGTTCCTAAGCACCAGTTGAGTACTGAATGACTATACGAAGTGTAATCTCAGACATCACATTCATCAGAGTAACTAGTTTATGATTATCTCCTGTAATAAAAAATTGGGACAATCAATTTACTGAGATTATCCATTTTAGAAAATTAAAATTATGAAGACCAATAAAGGGAATGCAAAAAAAAAAAAAAAGGTATAAATTACCTCATGATATTGTCGTACAAATTTGTTAAAGCATATTTCATGTGTCCACCAGCCTAAATTACCACTTATACATAGTTTACCATGAAGAAATTCTTTCACTTGATTATCGATTGTACCTTTCATTGTAGATAGATGAGTAGATGATAAGGAAGAAGAGGATATAGATGAAGATGTTTTTGAACTGGGTACCTGATTTGAAGAATCTAATAGAGAACTAATTGAAGTACTAATAATTTCTTTATTCTCTTCATTATTCATCTAAAAATAAGGAAACATGATATGAAATAAGGAAAATCAATGTACCTTCAAAATAATGTTGGAAATAACTATCAATAAAACAGATTGAATAATGATAATCATAAGAAAGAGTTATTTTGTACTCAACACTTAAATATATAACTTCAATGTACACGTTTGTATATCAGATACAAATTACAATGAAGCTATGGAAGAAAAAAGGAATATATCTCAGGTTTGAGTCCCGTTTCAATTACCAAGGGGGTTAGGCAACCAACTTTCACACAATAGGTGTGTGTGATTCATTGTCTAGTACACTGATGTGGAAATAAGTTTTGATATTTTTCTTTCCTTTTCTTGAATATCTACCTTAAATTCAAGATGTAAAAATGGTTCATACACTAAACAGTCATGAAATCATAATTGAAATGGAAGTAATCCTTTGTATGTCTTTATTACAAAATAATTAAATCATATCGTAAGGTAGGGCATTTTAAAAAGTTACATTCAGGCAATCCAACGTTCAATTATCCTTTTTTTTTGCATTCCAACAATCTTTGGACAAGAGCTACTGATTAACTACTACACCATTGATGCTATAAAATCACATTTTCAGCCTATACTTTATGATTTGTAATTGATACACTTGTAACAATAATCTGAACAGTAATGTTATCAAATGTATTACTCTTGAATAAGTTTCAATTATTTATTTTATCCGAAGAATGAAGACTATAGAAGTCAATTGATCACTCTAACTAAACTATGATAGAGAAAAAGGAGTCACTTGAAGTCCTCATTTCACTAAGTTTATCACCATCTTGGGAAAAAAAAATGAGACCAAATCAAATGAATCAACAATTCCTAGTTGCTTTTTTCTTTCTCTCCTAATTACAGCTATTTAAAGTACTCAAAGGTTAAGTAAATAATACATAATCATAACACGTAAAATACACAATCTTCTATAATTCAAAAAATTGGACTATATCACAAATATACGGTTGACTAGGGGTTTTTGAATGATACAGGTGTAAAACTTGGGCACTGTGGTAGAATCCAATTCCATATTAGATTTGTTAATTTGAATCATACTGGGTGATGATTGAAGGTGAGATGAAAATTTGAACCACGGTCGGATTTGAACCAGCAACCATCGGGTTACTGGTCCGGTGCTCTACCAACTGAACTACGCGGCCTGACTGCACAGAAGATTTCTTTATTTCACTTCAATCACCAAGAGTTTTGCAGGACTACCATATGAATTTGTGACGCGGTACTATCGCTTGATCGTACTCCCACTGGTTGCCTAGTCATGACTTCTCATCCAAATCGAAATCTAACTGAATCAAAGAGGGGGAGCATCATATTGATTATCATTTGACTATCTGAGATAGCCGTAGTTTGGCAGACTAGTATTTATACTGGTACTGACTAAGCCGTAGTAACGCGTCACGAATTCGCATGGTAGTCGGGCAAAACTCTTGGTGATTGAAGTGAAATAAAGAAATCTTCTGAGCAGTCAGGCCGCGTAGTTCAATTGGTAGAGCACCGGACCAGTAACCCGATGGTTGCTGGTTCAAATCCGACCGTGGTTCAAATTTTCATCTCACCGTCAATCATCACCCAGTATTAATACTAGTCTGCAAAACTACGGCTATCTCAGATTGTCAAATAATAATCAATATTTGATTTATAACACACAGTGAGTGATGGAGCATTATTTACTTGATGACGTTTCTAGCATAAATTCTCTCATAATCATATCAATGTAATCACACTCCCCTCGACATCTGCTTTTTATAGTTCTATCACCTCTTATTCTTTTTTTTATGGGTAGTAGAATTTCCCATATCTCTGTTATGTGTTGCATCATTCTTACTACATGTGTTGGGTGTTGATTTGATCAGCGAAGTTTCAGTAATTAAACTCTCTGCACTGGCCCGAATAACTCAGTGGTTAAAATGTTGACTACAACATTCGGTGAAGCGGGCTCGAATCTCAGCCGGGACATCAGTTCCGTCAACGTTTCAGATACACCTTGCTGACGATCACCAACAAGCACGAAAACTAGGTCTAGGGGTTCCCGACGATATCCCTCCAGCCAACTAACACATACATATATATGCACTGCAATAAACGAGTGTTCCTCTAGATTATTGATCTTATTCGGGTCTGTCATTCTATATTTAGCTAAATTCCTATCTTCAACTATTCTAACTGACCCCGACTGACCAGTTTCAGCCATGTACTTGACCTCACAGTCATTGCATGGAATCTGATAGATCGGATTATTTTCCTTGAGCCAGAATACAAAGCTTATCGCTGAGTGAGTTTGTAGGTTTAAATGCCATCCTAATTCCAATCTTGTTGAGAATCCTTCGTATTCATCAACACACAACCACATACTATGGTGAGTGGGATAAACCACTGTACTCAAGTTCAATATAATTAAGTGGGGAGAAAGGGAGAGACAGAGTTTGATTACTGAAACTTCGTTTATCGAATCAACTCGTCGTTTCCCATCTGGGTTCCACTCCAGTGCCTGGCCTGGCGCGTGATGTCCCCTAATCGTCTTCTCAGTGCATGCCCAGTTCATCTCCACTTCCTTCTGCATATTTGTTGAGCGATAGGTTCTTGCTTCGTCGGTTCCTCACCAGCCAGCTAGAGTTCCTTGTCGCCGATTCTTTCTGGCTATCTCATTTTCAGTATCTAGTGAGCGTAGGCAGTTGTTGATGAATGTCTGTAATTTGTTGGAAATCCCTTTCGTAATGCGCCAAGTCTCCGAGTCATACAGAAGCACTGACTTGACTGAATTGGTGTTGAAAATCCGGATGTTGTTCTACATGCTGAGTGCAGAGGATCTCCACACTGGTTTCAGGTTAATGAACGCCTGTCTTGCTTTTCCGATCCTGGCTGCTTTGACGTCCTCATCTGTGCTTGTGCCGCTTGTAGTTGAAACAGTGCTGACTGCCTAGATAGGTGAAAGAGGCTACGATAGATAGGGGTCTGAATCTCACTCTAAACAATTATAAGTTCTTATTATTCGTTGATATACTTGTAATTCTCAGTTGTTACACTGAATCAAATTGATCGACCTATGCATATGCCTTAATATGGCTTAGTTGTGACTAGAAGAGGTTGTGTCATGTCCTACGTGGCCTAGTGGATAATGCTCTGGAGTTTGAAGTAATGAATACGAGAAAAAGTCTTGATGCGAACAAAACCACTCAATGAATTACAAGTACATTCAGCTGATGAGACCCAAATAGGACGAAATGTGTGTACTGGATTCCTTTGCTAGCCATAACCAAATAAATTATGAGTTAGCTTAAGATTTCAACATACTGTTAGGTGATAAATGTATTTGAACATGTAATACTATAACACAGCTGCGTATATACTGAACATAAGCATTCTATATTTTACTCAGATATCAATATATGCATACAACGCCTTATTATCTAGAAATCTGGTTTACGTGTATCCATTCTCATTTGAAACTACCACCTTAGAGATGATGACTGAGTCGATTCAATTCTAACTGGGCATAGACTAAACCGGATTAGGATGAATAGATTCTTATTTTATTCTTAACAATCAATTGATCAGTCCCCATTGGATACAACAATTCAAAGGTATGAAGTGAAGAAATAAGGCTCTTAATTGAAATAACATTCTAACAAGAAAATCTCTACATCTTAAAACTTTTACTGTAATACCAATTTTTTTTTCTAAAAAGCAAACAATTTTTCTGCTTACATTCTTTCCAAGATTTTCTGTATCATCGGAATCTAAATCACGTTGTACATGATAAATAACCATATCCTTATCTCGTTTAGCATTTACCTGTTAAGAGAAATAAAAAAATATTTCAATCAAGAGAAAATTACTGATTGACTATTGAGTTAAAGAGAAATCAGACCTCTCATCTTAAGGAACTGTTACTTTAGATGCACACTCAACGTTCAGTTCATAATTAATGACGTGATTTACAGACAGAAAGATGGAATCGCCATGGGATCTTCACTAAGTCCACTACTAACCAATTGATTTATGGCCAGTTTAGAGAACGGCCCCCTGAAACCAACGACTGAAGGTTTTCAACTGTATAAAAGGCACATGGACGATACTTTTATTATCTGTGATTATCAATATAATTTGAATTGTTCTACAAATATTCAATAACTGCCACATAGTAATTAGATCCACCCTTGAGGTTGAAAATCGATCGAAAATTCACTTTTTTGATGTAGAGCTGACAAAAACAGCTGATGGAACGTAAAGCAGATCAATTCACAGAAAACCAGTGTGGAATGGTCAACTGACGAACTTTAATAGTTGGGTCCTTATGAGTCATAAGTGAAACCCGATCATATCTCTTGCCACCAATCTGCAGTCCCGATGTGTTAGAAGAAGAAATTTCTGTTCTAAAAAACATCCTGATTGACAACTAATTCCCACCACACTTCATATACAACAAACACGTCAAGCCTAAACCTCGCAAAGAGAACCTTACCACCTTGTTAATAAAACATACTCTATATGAATGTAAACTTTAAAGGTGGTTGTGCAACTGACACTCTAAAAAGGAAGATATCAAACGCTGTAAGAAGAATATTTTTTGCATCAAAGCTGAGACTAGTATTCTTTTGTCACCCAACGATTTCTAACAACTCTAAGGAAAAACTTTCGCATGTAACCACTTTTACTTCCATGTATCAATTCATTTGCTTTTGTAGAGCCAGGTTATTTAAGTCGTTTGATGTGACTATTGACCAAAAGGGTTCAAGAGCACTATCCCACGTGGTTACAAAGAGGTGACAATGGAGTGATAAGGAGTGCTATAATTGAACACATCGTGAACACGAATCACTCTGACTCAACAACTTCCTCGTTCAAAGTCATCTATAAAGCGGAAAGACACCATCCAAAGGCTGTATGTCTTCATATTCTCTGCATCGGCGAAGCTCTTGCCATCCAAATGGAGAAGTCTGAAATGTGTACGCAAAAGATTGTTCAACCCCTTCTCCTTTTATGGGTTCAGTTTTGAGTCTTCTCCACTGCCCCCCCCCAACTTTTTGCTTTTCATCTTTCTGTTTCGACACTATTCACTTCTTAGGAAATTTACTACTCATTCTTGTTGCTATGTTCTGCCTGGTTGCCATTCAGTTCTCAAACTTCTTGTTCAAAGTTATTTTGATTAATACTCACTACTCATCAACTCTTTTTGGTTTTTATTATTTTTATTTTAATGGTAACTCATTTATTGACACTGTTTGTGTTACCTGCCAGGCTTGACAGACCGTCTTCAACTATCGAATCTTTTAGACTAGAAAATATATAAATTTGTGATTGTACAGCTTTGAAAATGAAATCGCCAAAAAGAGACCCTCCGCTGAAATACTTGTTCATCTTTCAAATCATTATGGGTATATTTCACACAAAGTATTTTGTATCGGTACTACTCAGTAGCGGCACAGCTAAGACGATGGAGGGGAGGGGGCGTGATAATTAAAAGGAGTATATCTGTATGCACTCAGACACGATGTGCATGTTCGTGCAGTAGGTACTAAGCTACACCTATTGTATGACGGTTACTGCTACTAACTGTTTGCCCAAACTTCGGTAGGCGAGGAGGGGCTCGAACCCACGGCGCACTAACTGACAGTCACCTATCTAAACTACGGATCCACCGGTTCGCCCAATGAACCACAGTTCTACAGAGGAGTATATTCTTAAAATAAACTCCAAGAATGATAAGCGAAGTTACAAAGCAGCATATATTATATTATGTACATAAGTATGGTATGCGCTTGGTACCATTGAAGTGCAAAGTACTCTTGCAAGACTAGAAGGAGCCTGTGTCTGCGCTCGCCCTCGGTGGTGAGCCATTGGAAGCAATGGAAAACTTCATGTGTCTTGGTAGTTGTGTGTGATGAAGTCTCTAACTGCACATCGAAAGCTAGAGTGGCATATGTTAATCTGGGCCACTGTTGGTGCCTTGGTGACGTTAGTCTCACCGTAAGAGATCGGGTTTACAACGCTTTGGTGAGAGCAGTTCTGCTCTACGCCTGTGAAACCTGGTCTCTCCGGCTGAGGTAATACGACGACTTTGTGTGTTTGATCATAGTTGTCTCAGTAAGATTGCTCGTATCCGGTGGCAACACCACGTAAGTAATCCCGAGGTAGGACAGTATGTGTTTGAGCACGATAGAGATCGTCATCCAACAAGTGAAGTCATTGGGAGACACGGCTTCGACATCTGCAACACATGTCATCCCAACGGATGAAAGAAGCGGAGAGGTGGTCGTGTATGACGTAGCGCCATAGGATCAAGGATAGTTGTATCGGGTTGGCATCTAATTCGTTATTTCAGTTGTTGTTAAGGTGGCCTTTAAAGTTACTCGGAATCACTCATTCCATAGGGGTGCTGTAGTGGCCAATCAGGCTTCAGTATTTCGCCAAGGAAGGTACTTTTCCCGAAAATAACTGAATGTAATTTTTTATCTTATCACTTGCTAGGGTAGCCTTTAAAGTCACCCTTCCATAGACTACTTGAACGAAAAAGTGACCGCTAATGTTCAGTCACATCATATACAACTGATATAGCAACATGCTGGATACTGGTAGCCCCATTTAAAAAAGAATAAAGCATGAAATATTTATCAACCTTGAACCTAAAATAACGCCAAAACAAATATCACTCAACCATTAACATGCATAGATACATACACTTTACTTTAAATGAAGCATTATGAATGAGCTCGTAATCTGATAGTTGAGCATCAAGTCTGTCTACAGTATTAAGCCATAATTTTATCTTAACAATATCCGTAGGAAAAACATAGAAAACTTAAACCTGACACGTAAGGTGTATATAACTATGACCATAATAATCACAAACATATTGAAACACGAATAATTTACAACCACCTGTTAAAATCTTAATATCATACTTTAATTTTTGTTCTATTTTGATAGTTTCCATTCTTATTCAATTTTATCATAGATATTCTTATGCAGGTCTCCCTCTCGTCACCTGACTACACAAACGTTGACCCAATCACAGGAGAATTTTCGTTAGACCTAGAATATGCAGATGACATTGTCTTGTTAGGTGAATACACTGACAAGATGCAGAGTCTTCTGAACACTTTGAGTGGCAATTTGAGAATGTTTGGGATCCATTTCTCACCATCCAAATGTAAATTGCTGCTCCAGGATTGGTCTTCAACGGTCCCACGGCTAATAATAGAGAGTGTAGTGACTGAGTGTGTCGACCACTTCACTTACCTGGGAAGTAGGATCAGCCCTGGTGACTAGCTCAGTGGCCGATGAAATCTCTGCACAAACACAAAAGGCTCGATTGACTTTTGCCAACTGACACCACCTATGGCGCCACCATGATATCCGTTTGTCTATTAAGGGTCGCGTGTACTGCACAGCAGTTCGCTCTGTTCTACTGTATGGCTGTGAAACATGGCGATTCAAGGTGGAAGACATGAGAAGGCTGGCTTCAGGTGTTTGACCACCGTTGACTTCGTAGTATAGGCCGTATTCTTTGGTGTCACCATCTGAGTAATGCAGACGTCAGGTATAGAGTTTTAGGGAGAAGAAGTAAATCAGTTGACACGGTTGTGAACCTTCATCGATTGAGATAGTTGGGACACGTACTACGTATGTCTAGTCACCGACTGCCTCGTCACACAATGTTGGCCGAAGTAGGTTCAGGCTGGAAAAAGGCCTGACTGAGGTGGCCAGACTAAAACATGGTAGCAATGCATGAAGTCTCTGACTGTTGGTTTGAGCTATATGGGGCGATGCAGACTAGATGGTTGGGGTCGGCGGGACAAGAGGAACTAGTGGCTGCAGACTCTGGGGGATATGGCTCGGAACCGATGTCAGTGGTGCAGATGTATACACACATTATCCTCATCTTAACACTATACCGATTCTCATCGTTTTGTCATTCTTCCTTCCTCTCCTTGAGTACTTAATATTTCTTTTGACTGAATTTTCTTATCTTCATCTTTCACCTCACTACCTTTGTAGTCGATGTACTGATATGAGGTGTGGCAACTCGGACCGTTACGCAGTAATGCCTGATCCTATGTTGATATTAATGATGACGATGATGAGTTAAATGTTAAAAGTAAACAGAAGAAGACGTTTTAATTGATATCCATTAGTAAAGCATATATGTAACTCCATAAAATGTGTATGCTGTCTCTAAAATATGAAATCGAATTGTTCAGTCTTATATTTCTGAGAGGATTTACAAATGAGTTAGTCAAAGCAAGGAAAATTCACTTTTAAGAGTTGATTAATTAGTTTATTAATAGTAAAGAATTAATGTTTATTAGTTTAACCCACTAAATTTCAACCAGTTCTTTATGAGTTCGAACTCTGCATCACTTATCAACAACCAGATAGCCTAGTAATAATGTTAGTCTTGACAAGTTATGATCCCATTCTCCAGTTGACAAACTTGTACATAAGTGATAAATTACCTAGTCTTTTGAGTTAATACAATTTCACAGATCTAATCTCGAAGCATTCAATATTCAATACAGTTCGGTCAGTAGTAATTATTATACCAGAGACAGGATAGACAAAATCAACATAATGCTTCGCACACCAGTGCATCTCTTCACACTTCACAACGGTATACAAAGAACAGGTAGATAGAAAAAGAGTGATATCATCATCATCAAAGAGTGAATACGTTTCTATCATTGTGACTGATTATCAACCATGTCACCAACAGTCCTCAACCATTGATTCCTATCGTCTAGGGAACCTCAGATAAGCAGTCTATATCTCCCAACACAACTCAGACCAATAGTCAGGGACTTTATAGACTGGTAGCAATGATTATATCAATCATAAATTTCACTTATTTATCGACTCATTAGTTTCTCAGCAGAAAAATACACGTGCAAACTACCTAAAAAAAACTAAACCAAAATCAATCCAATAAAATATTATCTCATTAACCACCATTGTGCATTCTATATAAACGAAGTATCATACTAACAGTGCTTGGTCACGTACACACACACATACCCAAGCATATAAAAAGACTTACTTGAATTAACTATGAGCGAATAATTCAAAATGAACTTTTAACTAAAAACATGTGTGTAACACTGGTTCAGTTATTAGTGAATATCTTCTGAGATGAACTAAGTTAATTAGTTGTAATGATACTCGTAATTTCCAGTTGGTACACAGCGCCGAATTGCTCGTGCTGGATTCCTCTGCTAATCACCAGGATCAATATAACATCATGAACATCCGGCAGTATCGAAGTATACACATAGGCAGCCCATCTCCCAACAGAGGTCGAGCAATTCAGCACTGTATAGCAACGGGAAATTACAAACATCATTACAACAACTGACACCCATTGCACAAGAGGTGGATATCGTGCCCTAGTGGATAACGCATTTGGCGTTTAAAGCGAAAGATAATGGGCTAGAGCCTCAGTGGGAACATCACTCACTGGGGTGCAAGGTACATCTAGCTGACGAGTCTCAGATAAGACAAAACGCGCTTCCTGGATTCCTCTGCTAGTCACCAAGATCAATATAAGGTAATTAGTGTTGAATTTAGTGACGTAAGAGTCACTTATGTGTATTTGAAATTAAATGACCTCATAATATGGATTTTAGCCTATATATATATATATATATATATATATATATATATATATATATATATATATATATATATATAGTTCGATTCAAAGACATACATTTTTTGACAGTTTGTTTCAAAACAATTAATGATATTCCAACTATTAGATTTAGTACATGCTTTAAAATGATGGACTACAGAACTAGTCTAGCTGGGATCGAACGCATGACGCATCGATTGAAAGTCGAGTGTCAAAACTCATCTGTGGTGTTTCACTTAAAAACAAATAACTCTCAGGTCATACATCGACACGGAAATAGACAAACGGCTGTAACTGTTATCATGCTTCAATTAGAGGATTTGTGAAAATTAACCCTAATGGTTTACAGCTTAACCTACAGTGAGGGTGTTATTATGATAATTAGACTTTTAATGATAATTTTAGTGACAAGGTTCGACTGCTCACCAGATTTCTTTATTTTACTTCAATCACCAAGGGTTCTTACTAGACTACCATGTGAATCCGTGACGCGTTACTTCCGCTCGATCGTATTTACACTGGCTGCCTAGACATGAATTCTCACCCCCATGAGAATCTAACTGAATTGGAGAGGGGAAGCAGCATATTGATTACCATTTGACTATCTGAGATAGCCGTGATATGGAAGAATAGTATTGATACTGGGTGATGATTGAAGGTGAAATAAAAAATCTGGTGAGCAGTCGTACCTCGTAGCTCAGTTGATTGAGTATCGAGCCGGAAACCCAGTGGTCGCTGGTTCGAATCCGGCTGCGCTCCAAATTTTCAATTCATCTTCAATCATAACCCAGTTTCTGACATAAAATGCTTTTTTCTTTTCCTTAGAGCTCGTATCCACTCACCCTTAACCAATTCTATAATCTTGTAAAACAAAAGAGAATTTGACATTTCCCATAGGAACACTTTCGATAGCAGATAAGCACACCTTGATATAGGATAACTAAAGGGAACTGCATGACTACAAGACTAAGGTTCCAGTCCTGATGGAACTTATAAATCTGGAAACAAAAACATTTATTACAGCTTCAGTGTCTTATTGATAGCATTTTTTATATTTAGTCTGATTTATGTACATTCAAGAAACAGAACGAATGAAGGTACAAAGAATACGCTAACAATCAATGTCCTCTTGTTTTAGAACTCAGCAATCAGATGTATATTTATGCACCCGATGAGTAGCGCTTATTGTGAAGGCTACCTAAACCTTGTTAGGTAGGGGAGAGTTTGAAGCAAAGATCAAACCAAACCAATAAGAAACAGCTCCATAACGTAGAAAAGAAAGCTCATGCTACGATATAATGCTATAGCTCACAAAGTGGAAATCGATAGAAATCTCTCTAGTAGTCAAACGTACCTTGAGTTTTGATTTGAACGCGTCACTGAGTAAAGCAGCTAGATTGCTAAAGCTTTGCGATTGAAGCTTCTTTCTTTCTGCTTCAAGTGCAACTAACGCCATAGGTTTACTTGGTGAACCATTTTTAGAATGACATGAAATTGGATTGGTATGTGCACGTTTTTGCTGCAAAATATGATAAAGAAATATTAATAAAGTACTTCATGAATACACATATTTAAAATATATAAATAAATTTGGCAATCCTTCCACGACATTTTGTAATTAGTAACGGGGGAAAATATAGAACAAAATATTACGAACTCTAGGCATGTGACTTTAATGTAACGTGATTACAGCTGAAACTGAAAGAAAAAATGATCATAGTTTATCACAATGTCATTAAACTACTCGGGTGCATAGCATTCATTATGATGGAAACTACACATGAAATCTAAATCATGACGGAATTTGTGAAATTAGGGAAAAACACGGAGGATTTGTGAGCAACAATAAAATGACTAGAAAGATTCTTCAGCACAAAAATGAAACAGAAGGCATTATTCATCCAACTACAAATGTCATAGTCCCTACACTAACTTTCACTCTGTACATTCCTGTAATTTTCAGTCATTTTTCACTGTCTTTTGTTCATAATACTTTAAGATTCTATCTTCTGTGATCATTCAACTGCTAATTAAAGCTCTGGAATAACAAACCCGAGGAAGCTAGAGAAGGTTTTCAAACTACATCTGAAGGTACTTATCTAACACCTACTCCCATCAGATTGCAGGACACAACTATATTTACTGGGATCCAACACTAATTACATTTCTTGACCGAAGACGACATTTACCTTTGGCGATAGGGAGGAATTGTGAATGTCTTTTACTGAAACTGACGACTGGAAAATAAATAATCTTACTGAGGGTTTCACGATCCAATATCCATGGTCACGCTAGAGCCGATAATGAGCTATTGGGTGAGATGTGTAGATCAACTGACGTCCACTATTTTCCTTTTTATTTGATCATATAATACACACAATTATTGGTGTTTTGCCCATTTGATTTGGCAGGAATCAATCACCGTGAAAAATATTCCTTAGTTGACTAACAGAATATATTCCTATGACACGATATGAACAAAATAATTTTCTGTACGCTAGGCGACACAGTTAAAAACTTAACGATAGGTTTTTAACCTTCAGATGCAAACTAGTGCCTTAAAATCGGTCTCTTTTGATGTTCTATGTGATAATAGGGAATGAAGCGACTGAGCATGACAACTACTTTCCTTACTTAGGTTGATGGCAGACAACATCTCAGAAAAAATGTAAGGCTTGATAAGCTTTCGCCGTAATATTCCGCCTGTGATACCAACAAGATATCAGAATGACAACCAGTGGGCGAATAGTCCAGAGTGGTATTTCACTTCACTTGATGCTAACAATGAAATGGTCACTAGAGATGAGACAAATCAGTAGGCAGTAGGTGTTTGAACACAACTGCAGACGTAGTAGAGGCCAAGTGTGATGACGACAAGAAATGTGCAGCCTAGATGAAAAGTGTACACTACAAGATAACCTAGTTAGGAAAGCTGATAACCTTATAGATTCTAAATACCCTACGTAACTAGGTTATCTGTTGCACTGGCCAGGAATTTATCTACATCGACCACCAACCTTAACTGAAGAAGAGTTAAGATAAAGAGAGGGAAGTTATCAAAAAACAGGTGACACAAGTCTTTGAAATAGAAACCGTCAAAGCAAATAAAAACCTTAAAGGTGGATGGACCAAGACAATCGAAAGCAACTGTTAAGGTCTCCAGCCAATACGTCAAATAATGGAACAGATACATTCATACTCATAATAACAGTTATTAAAATCCCGATGTCTGTATCACCTCATATTTCATTCCAAACTTGTGGTCATAGCACTTCTATTTCACTGCATTACTTTTGCTGCGTCCTAATTAATGTAGTGATATGAGGTGACAGACCGCTGCGCGGTAATTTTGGGCCATATATTGGTGTCTATCGACCATTATTATGATATAACGTAAACATTGGATTTACAATATTCCAATAAAACGTGAATTTAGTAGTTGGTGCCTAATGAATGGCAGAACAACTGACTGAGGCACTTCACTTTGATTAGCACCATCCAACGGAGAGTTTATTGCGGCCATATACGCGCACACAAAGTAGTGCTACAGGAACCTGCGTGGCCATTAACCCTTGACTTCTAAGAGACCACACGATCGCAATTCAACAGAAAGCAATCACCCTCATATATGACTCGGTAACCACTGAGAGTGCAGTTTCGCATAAACTGCAGTGGTTTCTTCCAGAAAAACTAGCCACCAGGATTTTATCGGAAGCGAATCATTTTCTTTTTCGTCTTCTCTTTTGAAACTGTCAACCTACAAAGCGACTGCACACGCAGCCAAGTCACGAAGGAATGAACAAAACAAAGCAGGTCTATTCAGTTCGAAGCTTACAGCATCACTAAAGCATACGAATTAAGTCGCATTAATTCATTTACTATAGAAAGGCCGTGCACTCAGTGAATAGAGGAAACAGAACTTTTATATGTCTAAATTAAATAAATGTGAGTGACTTCCTCAAGCTGATGAACAGTTCCGTAAAAAAGAAGAGTAAATTTAAACAAGTTAAAATCCTCACATTAGTGCTTTTCAACCTCAGCATGCTACACTTAAGAAAACTAGATTTCAACTTCATAAAACAATTTGTCCCATTAGAACCTTTTAAGATCAGTGCAACGTGGAAAACGAATCGCTGTCTTAAATCTTCAAGTGCAAAATATCATACAACTTAACTTGTCCGCTAATTAAAGTGGTTATAGAAAGAGAACTTCAAATGCTCTTTTCGAAAGGAAATTATGATTTATTTTATGCGACAATTCGGTCACTATTGGCGAACCATAACTACACCTAAACATGAGTCACATGTCTTTCGTGTGTTTTTCACAAGTTGCATAACTTACCTCAGGATGTCGTCGCATCTCAAATTAACAATACGGCCACCAGCACAGTCTACGGTATATCTGTTGAAGCGTAACAAACATAGTCAATGAATGCTTGGCAGTAAACTATTTCCACAGCATCTAAATTCCTACCGTTGGACTACGGTTTGAACATGCTTTTTCGAGCTCACTCGTACCTATAAGGTTTGGAGCAATGTGGTGAGAAATGTGATATTTCACTTTGTTCCCACTCAATTGAACAGAATTCTATGTGCACAGTAAGTTTCGCACTGTCGGTAAACACTCCATTGCCTTGATACCAACAAATTATGAACTTTTCATGGAATGCTTCTATTATACCTTATTTGGTCGCTTTGTTACTGTTGGGTGTTACGAAGCTCTGAGGAAACCCCAGTATTCATAATATCTCCCGGCTGTTTCTGCTGGACTAGATGGCTTTGAAAACTACATTCGTGAGAACTGGGTCATCGTTTGCAGCACTGAAAATAAAAGCGTGGTCTCCAAGTGATTGGAGAAATATAGGCTTTTACGATATCTACACAGCATGCTGAATTCACCTGCACTTACCCTTCATGTACAATGCAGATTATCCATCCGAACATGCCCAAAATTTCTGCTGTATTCGATCAGAAAACGCACACTATCATACAGAAATACTTCGTCTCCAAAATCAGGTCAACCTAAGTGTATTAGCTTGTGGTCTGGAATAACGTCAAAGCAGCACACTTAGTGTCTAACTCATCATTGTTAACGGCCAAATCGGCTTTTTGAAGGGCGATTCATCCTAATTTATCTCTTGAGAAAATACATGTCTCGAGTTGTGTGTTCCGACGAAAAAGCAATACTCTTCGATGGATTTAATGTGCCAGAAACATTACGAACGGTGAGAATAAGCACCTTTCTAAAAGACAGTATCAGCTGTTTGACACTTTTAACAGGATACATACATACCAACCCCTTTAAAGTCTAAAATTTGTTGTAGTGAAACACAGTAAATAGGAAGAGATTTGGATGGGAGTGGAACTAGCTCTAGGCATTCCAAGATTAAAGCCAAAAAAAACGTCTACTGACAATAACGTATAGACAGACCTAAGGAGCATACCTTGTACAGAGGATGTGAGCACAGAAACTTCGTGGCGAAGACCACCTGATACTGGCACGTTCGAACTTCAGACACATCTATAATTGAACCACCAATGCCTTCGTGACAAATATACATAACAATTGTTGTGCGATGCTCCTGAATTAGATCGCACAAGGTTCCATCAACATAACTGACTTCGTAGTATGGGTAGGAGTTCTCACCAAGGGTAACTGTCTTTGGAAGATGAGTCTTAAAAGGTTAGTAATTTCTGGACTTACATTTTCTTTATGGACACCCTTCTGTGTTTTAGAATCTATACAATCAATTGGATTTATTAGTATGTTGACATACGTGGGTCATAATGTCCCAGATAAAATTCTTGGACCGGAGAACTCTGTCTGTCAGTTTATTGAATTTACAAACCAAACCTTTTTCAACCTTATTTCTTCGTGAAACTGCCTTATATGCTGGTTATGACAAAGTTCATAACTCCAGTAAGCCTCAGATTTGATGCTACACGGTTTTTCTGTGAATAAGGGTTGTAATAGAATCTCCTCATCCACCAAATCAGAGCTTTTACGACCGTCTTCATGTGATCTTAGCAGCAATGTAGGTATAAAACACTCATAATCCTCTCCAACAGTTGTTCTAATTTCGACGGCATCATTTTCCTACCACGGTTATAAATGAGAATAAATATTACCTCCAGAGACTTTGATGAACTACCAGACCATTTAAGGTCAAATATAATATCATCAGTCACATTGTAAAATGCAATAACATATGAGAAACATAGGAAAGACAAAACCCAGAGTAATAGATTGATTTGGCGCATCGATCAGGAGACGACAGATCATCTATGTTACTTGATATAAACACGTAGTCGTAAGCTTCCAATAGTCTAATATGTTTTTACGAGCTAGTGTAAACCAACTGATTTCTTCGCGCTGACTTCTAGGTCTTGCGGAACGGTTCCAGGTCTTTGGTGGATTCCGATGCAGTAGGTCAACCCACTCGACTGCTGTAGCTCTGGTTAGCCCAACGGGCGGCTGGGTGTTGGTTAAATTTGTAGGGGTTACTGTTTGTTTTGTTTTTTTCTTCCGATGACTGTGATGCAGATAGGTTCCCCAAGTGCCATGCCAGCAGACAATTGGTCTGACTGGTTGTAGGAAGGAGATGAAAAATGTGTGCAGAGAAATCAGGGAGGGAAAGCGCGGAGAAAAACAAATAGGAAAGGAAAAAAGAACGAAAGGAAAAGAAGAGGATCGGAGAAAAGGAAACGGCATGGAAGAGGAAATATCGATGGGTTTATGGGAAAGGTGTGATAGGGAGGGCTTTTGTTAAAGTTCGATAGCGTAAAGTCAGAAGGAAGAAAGATAAATGACATGATAGGACGAGTCGGAACATAGCAATTCTTTTAGTAGGAGACAGTAACTGGAGGGGACGTCCATAGAAAGGCATAAGGTTGAGACAAGTTCCCAGAGATAGTGGTTTTACAAAGGGTTCAGTTACGGTTGGCCGTACCGAGTTAGTAGGTCGCCAGCCTAGCCCACATCCCAGTTGGATGAGCGCGAACCATGCGTCGCTGAATAAACTGTCCAACTTCTTCTTGATGCCGTCAACAGACTAAACATCAGCAATCTCGGCAGGCAATGCATTCCAGTGGCGGAAAACTCTCAGTAGGAAGAAGTGTGATCGCACTTTGGTGAGCGATTCTCCTTGGGTTACCACGAGGATCGCCATAGTGGCCGTTCGGCACTATTCCGCTGTTCGGATAAATCGGGTTACTTAGTATTTTGTAGGCCATTATCAAGCCACCACGCAATCTACGGTAGCTTAGAGAGTAGAGTCCCAGATCTTTCAGCCCGTCCTGATATGGTTTTCGCTTCATTCCAAACAGCACCCTTCGCAGCTCGCCTTTGGACTTTCTCTAGGAGATTCACGTCTCTTTTCAGATATGGTGGTGCAATGGCGTTGTGGGCCCCTAGGTGGGGTCGTATATAGGCCTTATACAGCTTCCAAAAGGGTCTGGGGTCATGGCACTCAGTAGTCTGCGCATGAAGCGCAATAGCGCGTGGGCTCTGGAGGCATCTCCTGGATAATCGGAGCTAGTGTCTAGTTTGTCAGTCAGTATTAGTCCTATTTCTACCTCTGTGGTGGTGTGGGAAAGTTGTGTTCCACAGAGAGAACAGGGTACCTTCTGAGAGTCTGGGGTGCGAAGAAACATCGCTCGGCACTTATGTAGATTAACTGCTGGTCCATTCATGTGACTTCATGTGGATTGGTCTGCAAAGGCCAGACGCCGGTAGGTTTTCGTCTAGACTGTGTATACGTTAATGCAAGACGTGCAAATGAGCGCGAGTGAGACTGACGGTAACAGTTTATCCAGCCAGTAGGAGAATTTGGCAAGGGATACCACAGAAAAACGTGGGTCGGCCACTCAGCAACCTCAGATAGCTCACCGATGCTTAACAGTGATATGCGGTCGACAAACGGAAACAACATCCTGTCTATCCAATGTTGCAGCGTCTGCACATAGTTCTCAGAATAGCAGAAAACCTGGTTTTTTTCACCTACCACTCCGCCTTCTTCCGATGTCAAAACCCGCATTCTAAAATCATTCATGTTAAGTGCTAGGTGGGCTCTTCTAGGTGGTCAGTGGTGTCCCGTGTGCTTTGCTGGTAAGCTGAGCTGATATAACTTTCAGATCTTCCTTCGACAGATATTACTGAGGTGGTTGTGACTACTTTCCAAGGAGAAGCTTTGTATTTAGTACATGCTTATGAGTTAACGGTGTTTGACGTGGGCTCACCATTGGCCTCATGTTGTGACAGTTGGTGGGGATCCCTCATGGTGACCGTCTTGTTGCTGGGAGGGTCCATTTTCACACGACCTCCCTGGTGGATGATCGCAAGAACCTCTGTTACACACTACAACTGTTTCCTCGACAGCCTGACGTACATCGATCTGCGCTGACGATTCACGAATGCATAGCGCCCTTCGATTGTTTGAGGAGTTGGCTTACCTCTGGTAGACGTGTGAACAGATCGCATATAGTTGTACTTGGCACTGCGGCCCAATTCCTTAGTACCGCCAATCTTGTGCCATCAAACTCCCGGGATTTCCCTATTCTGAGCAGTGAAAGTTTCGCAATCACTTAGTTTGACGAAATCTCTACGTTCGTCATTTCTGTATCGCAGTCCTGGCACTTCGCTACGTTACTGGATGTTTATGGTTGATGCATTACTGCGCTGAGCTTGGAGGCAAACCAGCTGCTGAGTAGCTCCGTCAACTCACCGCCGATTTTACGTTGCACCAGAAAGGGGTTCAGTGGTCCCGGACGGTCATCAATTTGATGATAATTAAGTGACCGTTGCTAAGGCCAGGCTGAACAGTTTGCACGATGTTATTGGTAGTATTTTTTTTCGTGCATAGCTATTTGAGTTGCATGCCAGTTCGACAGACGCGATCGTTTCCGCATTCTAGAGCTATCTACACAAAAATTCGGTATACTTTAGAGTATTTTCAGCAGTATTTTTTGAAGACTGTGGACAGCCCTGACGGTTTTAGATCTTTTAAATGGGAAGTCGACGATCCGTTAGTTAGGTGTCAAATTGCGCCTTCCGCCCCTCATGTTCCCGCGCAATAAGCAGCGATAGTTCGCAGATCTTGAGTAGATCATAGGGAGTGTATTTCAATGCAGGGGGCATACTGATGCGTTCCGTGATCTGTCAATAGGCTTAAAAAGAGAAAAGAGGTCGTCCTCGTTTCTGTTTGTTTTAGTGAGCTGATGCTGGTGTTACAAACGTTGAAAGTGAAAATAAGTTATAGGCATTTAAACTGAGATATACTTATTATTATTATTATTATTAGTCCCTTGGGTTCCTAGTGGAACATAGGGCTTCAGTAGCACGTCCCCAGTGAACTCTGTTCTCTGAGATCTTTTCAACCTGGTTCCACGACAGCCCACAAGCTCTCATTTCCTCCTCGCATGACCTCCTTCATGTCACCCTCAGCTCGGACGTCCAACTCGTCGCTTCCCATCGGGGTTCCACTCGAGGGCCTGACGCGTGATGTCCTCCGTCGGCCTTCTCAGTGCATGGCCAATCCATCTCCACTTCTTCCTGCATATTTGTTGCGTGATAGGTTCTTGGTTGGTTCGTTCCCAGAGCTCCTTGTTGCTTATTCTTTCTGGCCATCTGATCTTCAGCAGCGAGCGTAAGCAGTTGTTGATGAATGTCTGTAGTTTATTGGAAATGCCTTTCGTGATGCGCCAAGTCTCTGAACCATACAGAAGCACTGACTTGACGTTGGTGTTGAAAATCCGGATGTTGTTCCACATGCTGAGTGCAGAAGATCTCCACACTGGTTTCAGGCTAATGAACGCCTGTCTTGCTTTTCCGATTTTGACTTTAACGTCCTCGTCCGTCCCGCCTGTAGTTGAAACAGTGCTTCCTAGATAAGTGAAGGAGGTTACTTCCTTCAAGTTTCTCCCGTTGACGGTGATTGGAGTTTGTTGTTGTTGTTGATGGTGGTGGTGCGGTATCTTCATCACTTCTGTCTTCTCTATATTCACCTGAAGTCCCGTCTTAGCTGCCTCTTCTATCAACTTGTTAGTTTTTGCCTGTAGATCTTCAAGTTTATGTGACATTAGGCATAAGTCATCGGCGAAATCCAAGTCTTCTAGGTTCTTTTCCATCGTCCAGTGTATCCCCCTCTTCTCGCTGCCTACTGTTTGCTGCATGATCCAGTCCACCACAATAAGGAATATCATGGGGGATAGTAGGCAACCTTGTTTCACTCCTGTCTTCACTTCAAAGGCATCACTGAGCTTCCCATTGTGGATTACTTGGCATGTGGCATCTTCATATAGTTGTTGAATGAGGCGGATAAAGGTTTGCGGTACTCGGTAGTATTGAAGCAGTTTCCAAATTACTTCTCGGTCGACGCTGTCAAAGGCCTTCTCAAAGTCGATAAAGTTGAGGTATAGAGCTGATTGCCATTCTATGCTCTGTTCTATGATGATGCGTAGCGTTGCAATTTGGTCTGCACATGATTTGTACTTCCTGAAGCCTGCCTGTTCCGGTCGCAGTTTTGAATCCAGTGCGTCTTTAAGCCTCTCCAGGATGATGCGGCTTAATATTTTACTTGGGGTGGACAGGAGAGTGATTCCTCGCCAGTTGTTGCAAGCACTGAGGTCTCCCTTCTTCGGCAGTTTGACAAGGTAACCCTTTTTCCAATCGTCAGGTACCTTCTCTTCCTTCCACACCTTCTGTAATAGTGGTGTGAGCATGTCCGCTGTTGTCTCTGCATCTGTTCTCAGTGCTTCTGGCGGTAACCCGTCTCGTCCTGCTGCTTTTCCGCATTTCAGTAGCTTTATGGCATTCAGGACTTACATCTTTGTTGGAGGATTTATGTTCACTTGTAATTCGGCGGCTGCAGGTGGTATTTCTGGACGAGGTGTAGGTGGTGGTCGATTCAAGAGCTTCTTGAAGTGGTCGGCCCATCGTTTCCTCTGTTTCTCTTCTTTCATAATTAAATTTCCTTCTTCATCTTCTATTGGTTTCATCTGTGTTGATCTCTTCCCTGATAGCAACCTGGTTATTTGATACAATGTCGTCAGGTCTCTGTCTTACCTGCATCCTGTTCTGCTTCCCTTGCCAGTGTTTCGTGGAAGTGTCTTTTGTCTTTGCGTGCACTCTTCTTTACTTCTTTGTTCAGTGTTTTATACATTGTGCTCAGTTCCTCTTGTCGTTATGCGTCCTTGCACCGGTACATCCTCTGCTTCACCATCCTCCTCTCCTCTATCAGCTTCCAGGTATCCGTCGAGACTCA